AGGAATTTATCCCAATCAGAAACCAGTTGACAAAGGTAGATATCAGAGACTGGTAGGGAAACTAATTTATTTGTCTCACACTCGTCTGGATATTGCTTATGTAGTGAGTGTGATAAATCAATTTATGCACTCACCGAGTGTGGATTATATGACAACAGTGATGAGAATTTTGGCATATTTAAAGTCTGCCCTGGGAAAGGTGATTTTGTATAAGCATCATGGGCATATGAGGATTGAGGGATTTACTAATACTGATTGGGCAGGTGATGTGACTAACAGATGATCTACGTCAGGGTATTTTACATTTGTTGGAGGTAATTTAGTTACTTGGCGAAGCAAGAAACAGAAGGTGGTGTCACGGTCTTCTGCCGAGGCCGAGTATAGGGGTATGGCACATGGTGTGTGTGAGATCCTTTGGCTACGAAAGTTGCTTTGTGGTCTTGGTTTTAAATAGGAGGAGGCGATGAATTTGTATTGTGATAACAAAACAGCAAGAGAGATAACTGAGAATCCAGTGCAGCATGATAGGATGAAGCATGTGGAGGTTGATCATCATTTCATTAAAGAGAAGCTCGAAAAGAAGATTGTATCAATTCCATTTGTGAATTTAGAAGAGCAACTTGCGGATGTTCTTACTCATGCTGTGTGTAGTAGAGGTTTTGATGACTCACTTATCAAGTTGGGCATGTGTGATATCTATGCACCAACTTGAGGAGGAGTATTGCGTGAGTTAGTATGTAGAAAGGGAATGTAAATATTGTGTAATTATTAGAGTCATGTTTTAGGAAAGTTATATTTGTGTCCTTTATTGTTTTCCTTATGTAATAAGGATTGTATGTACTTATTATTTTTTTGGTTATATTGGAGTCTCAACCCCTTTTACATTAAATAAAATAGAATTATTGTATAATTAACTCAACCACAATCTTCGAAAGTTTGAAGAAATTGTGATGAGAGATCGAAAGAGAAATAACCGGAACTTGTTGACGTCATTTGTAAATTGTGTATTATCTAAATCTACATTAATAAAACCTTCTTTGTCAACCAAAAGAGGGTGAAAAGACATTTTTGTCTTCTATCACAACAAAAAAATAAGGACAGTAACATAATTTTACAAAACAAAAGTTTGCTGTTTTTTTTTCTAAACCTCACCTATATGTAAGTTTATTATCTCTAATTTAAAAAAATTTAAAAAAAATAAAACAACCTCTCTCCCTCTCTCCTCACTCCCACGTTCTCTTTCACTCTCTTCCTATGTCCTTCAATTTTAACAACCAAAGTAAAAAAATTCACACACTTTGTGTGTGGGCATATACTAGTTTGAAATAAAGTTATTTACAAAGAAAATAGAAATATGAGACAATTGGGATTATTTGGAATAAAGATTAGATTGTTGACATTGATTTGCAAATATGGTGTAAAAGTTGGACAAAAAATCTCTCTAGATCTCATCGTTCGTAGCACAATGATTCGGCAATTTGAACCACTCAAATTAAATCGAAAGTTCGCGTTAAATTATTTTGCTGGCCCACCTCACACAAACCAATGATTCTGATTTCTCTTTCACAAATCAAGGGTTTGAATTTCTTAATTCTTAGGTTCCAGACACTAAAATCCAGAGAGGATCCAAATTTGTAGAAGTTGACCAAATTGCCAAACCGCATAGGAATTTTAGGGTTTGGACCACAAAAGGTATTGAAAGCAGCCACATTGCATATGAAATGAAAGATGGGAATGTCCACCTCAGTCTCAGTGACCATTCGTCTGCGTGCAGTCCATGTGAAGATGGCCCATAGAATGCGCATTTTCAAAACAATATTTATTTAGGAAAATTAATAAAAATAGTTTGAAAATTTTGAGTTTTAACAATAAAGACAAAATAAAATGTAAAATGAATAGTATCATAATTGATTTTTTAATGTAAAAATATGGTTTTTTGCTAAAATAAACAGTACCGTGAGTTTTTCACTAAAGTTCCCTCATTATTTATGTATATTATGCCTTTTTTGACTTAGACTTGAGAGGAAGAAACGGAAGAGGATTTTCTCCGGATTCACTTTGTGAAAATTTTAGGAATCTCTACATCCTAGTCGTTCATTGTACATCGTGCGATCAGTTTTAATTAAGTACTATTTGTGTTTAATTTTAAATAAAAAAAATCAAATAATTTTTTACCGCACGATACACGATAAATAGCTAAGATGTAAGGATCCCATAATTTAGATCCAGATGGGATCCAAATCCGGAAGAAACCACCCTCATGCACATTTCCAAGGGACAAACTAAGGCTTTGTGCTAGTTGTGGATGGCGGGTTGGGTAGCTAACGGAAAAGACTATGACTTGCAGTAACAAGTTGAAAACCCACTTGTTATTACGTGACACAATGTGCTTTAGTCAAGGAACAATGCTATTACGTGACACAATGTGTTTTAGTCAAGATCATTAACATTTCAAACGGTAAGCACATGAAAACCCACTTGTTAGTGATTTAAATAAATAATCTAACAACATAATATGTTAATCATCATAAAACTAGCCTAAACCTACCATCCAGTTGCAAAACATCGAGGGTCGCCCCAGTCCGCCACAGAAACGTAAAGTGTCTAATTCAAGTGGGGCCACCACAAGTTGAGGGCCAACTGAGAGCTCATTTTCCACCAAGTAGTTGAAAGAAATAACTCATAAACCAATCCAAAAGGCTTTGTCTAGCTAGGAGCATTTGTAAAAATGTCTCCATCACAAGCAAACCACAAAACAAGGTGAATCATAACTGTGAATTTTAGGAAGGGAAACGATAACCACACAACTTTTCTCCTCGTACACACTCCTCTTAGTCTATGGCAGCCAGATCGAATAAATTAAATAAATCAACCAGAAGCAATGACCAAAAATTAACATCGGTATGCGGAGGGAAAAATAGTGTGTGGTTATCATTTTTCATTGCTAATTGCAATAATACTAATTTTACAATTAGGAATTTAACATAAATGCAAGATTTAAAGAAATTTTCAAAGAGGAGAACAATGAGAGGTACAATGCAAGTGCTGCATAACAATCAAAGGGGCCATACCGAAAGTGATAGCAAGGCAACAGCCAGGATATGAGTATTAATGTTTGGATAATGTAACCCTAGATGCTGTGGATAGGAGGTCGTTTAATGCAACTACTACTACTACTACTACTACTACTACTACACTCTATAATAGCAACTCCGAGAGCGCTTTTGAGAGCGTTTAACATAATAAAACCCCATTCTAATGCTATGTGGAGAATGTGCTTCTTCACAAAGCACTTTCAACTTCGACACGCTTCTAATGAAACAGCTTTTAGCCAAAATGCTTACGAGCAGAAGTTCTTCCCATGTCTGACAAAACTCTAAAACTATTTGTCATTCATTTACCTTGAAATCGTGGGATCAAGAAAAACCAACGAACGAAACAAATCTTCGAGGGCATCTTGTGAATCTAAGAGTGAGTTCATTTTATGTCAGAAGAGAGGGAAGCCCATGCCTTAACATGAAAGAAGAAGATGCAGGTAAAACAACCTGTTAAAATTACTTTCCTAAACAACAAAAGACAACAGAAGACAGTCTCCACAGACTTTTCTTTCAGTTGCCCAAACAGGTCCTTTGCGTAAAAATCATCATGAACAGAGAGGGGCTGGTACATCGGACGGTCAGATATTGTCCAACTGATAGGCCCACTTGACAGTGACCATCCATATGAAGGCCCACTTTCCGTAGCACAAAAATAGGCCTTAATGATGGTGGCCCAGTCCAAAAACAGGAAAACAACACTAGTCGAGCCCCAGGGCCCGAAAGGGACCCAACATGCTACAAGTCACGGACCGCTGGGGGAGTAGGGTCATCCAAAATCTGCGGTTAAAACTTTCCCATCAGGGATAGGACCCACTGACAATGTGGGCCCACTTTGCTGATGATGTTTGAGGTGGGCCCAATCAAACATTATTAGCTTTCTACTGAATGTACGAAGAAAGGCAAGCTGTTGTGAAGCTGCCTACAGTATGTCTGGTCTGGCAACCTCATGAGGCTTGGACACCTGGGGGATGGAAGAAAATATGGGGCCCATTTTGATGCCATTTGTTGATTTCAGACCTCAGTGCTACAAGGGAAAATGATTTCCGCACTCCCTTTTGATTTCTAGCACTTCTCCCTCAACTATGCCCTCTTCGCCTTTTGTTTATTCAATCTAATGGCTAAAGACAAAAAAATGGGAGTGCAAGAGGTGAAAAAGGAGTGCAGATATCACTCTCCCACATAAATCCGTCAATTTAGGCTCACCCGGACTCTACTGTAAACCCTAAACCCTAACCCTAACTTGTTGGAAATATCAAGCCAAATCAGAAAGCCCTAACATATATACAAAAACTAAGGCCTACATGAACCCCATTCATGTCCCCCACCAAGCCCAAACGCACATATAAGTCTTTGGGGCTATATTTTCTGCCCACAACCGGGAATTACATGCACCCAGTTTTCTCTTAATTACAAGAGAAAATCTTAAGTGCAACCGGTTATATAAAGTAATGGCATAGATAAACATATGGTTTAATACCACCACCAACCAGTGATTGGTCTCGTATAACAGGGCCAAGAGTTGTGGAGACGTTATGCACAAAAGAAGAAAAGAATGCATTTGCAATGGATACAAATTTCAACATTTTGCTGGAAACGGACCCAGAAATGAAAGTTGAAACATTCAGTCATAAGGCGGCAAGGATAGCAGTGGTGAATGAATTGGCACGACTAAGGTAAACTATGAACTATGAGTGTCGGAAGGCAGGTTCAGCTGTCACTTTTTTCACTTACGAAATTTGTTATGTGCGATGTAAGGTTTTACACAGACAGACCGACAATTAAAGATTATTCTTCTGTGACTAGACCCTAGAATCAAGCATTCTGCATACAGTGAACAACAGAGATATTCTTGCTGCCTTTCGAGAGAAGCTAACATCATAACAGGACCTTAAAAACATAAGATGACATACCACGGACACGATTAACTCACTTCCAAGACAAACTAACAACTACACCGTTAATCCTCCGAATACAAAGGTACAATCTACACGGACTCCCCATGCTTATCAGTCAACGGGAATACTTCAGATATCAAAACAACAAAAGGGTACGATTGTCCACTGAATCATTCATTCTACCCATTGAACCTCTAAATTTCTATATCCCCTGAGCTATGATTCATCCTTCAGTAGTACAGATAGAAAACAAACTTACAATGAGCGGCTATCTGCTATCATACTGTCAAGCAGTGAGTAATCAAAATATCACAGCATGTTCTTCACTAGTCAAAGAGTTGAAAGCAGCTAAGGTAAGCCTGCAAATTAGGATTTATTATCAGCATTTGATAAGTTACTGAAGGAGGCAAAATAAGCAACTAGCGACGATCAAAACTGCCTCCAGATAAACTGATGATGAAAGAAAAAGGTACAAGGCTTAATGAAATCAATTATAAGACGCTGACTTTGAGTACATTTTGGTGCATATGGCTCATATAAAACAGTAGCACATTTTTTAAGGGGTAAACAATTCCTCAAGGGAAACAAATTTTGGGATGGCAGTTATGAGTGGACAATGAAAACTCCAGTGCTTTTCAGCAAAGAGCTGTAGGGTGATGCCCCAATCGATCATCAAGTTATCAGTGAACTTGCACGACAAATTCATCCACAATTTTTATTAATAAGCAGAGATTCTCCTTTATCGAATGTAAATTAGGATTTTAATAGATCTTATCCAGGCTCTTCAGGGAACTGGGTACCCTATTGCAAACAGGTGGTTATTTATAATTTGATCGATGATAAAGAATCCTGCATGCTGTATTAGACAAATTTACTAATATTTCACAAACTTAATCCCTACTTTGTTTGAGAGAGAGAATTAAGTGATAGATAGAGTCAATGCATTCAAATAAAAGAAAATGAAATCAGAAACAATTACAGTGGGATCATCGGAAAATAAACATATCACCCCTTATACATACAGCAACTTCTTAAAGTAATCGATATTATGATAAAAGAAAAATATAAAAGAATTCCATTGAGAAAACTTTGCAAACTAATGAGGAATCTGTTAATCCTTAATCCTGATATGCCCATCAATATCATGTAATACAACAAAGGAATCCATTTATCCTTCATGTCATCAGATGCTAAACGAACTCAAAGCAGTGAAAGGTATATACATTGAATTTGAAAGTAGATTACAAAGTGTCAGTTCTAGAATTCTAGAAACGAGGCACGAATGTCTAACTCTTCAGATCCGGCCCTCGGAATAAATATTCCAGAGATGGCAATTCTATACCCAAACAGCAATAAAACACTTAATTAGGGATAATGAACTAAATCATGAAGCAAAAAACTTTTCCCCGGAAAAGATAGTATATGTATACTGTAAAGAACAAACCTGATGATGATTACAGCGAGAAGGCAAAAGTAGAAGCCAAGTTTGACAAGCCTGCACTTCTTCTCAGTATTAAGAACCCTGAACACTTCAGTAACATCAATAAGATGCTGCTGTTTTACAAACCTGAATCATAGGTAAATGGTGGTTATGAAGTTGGAATGCAAGCTCTGCCCCCTCCCCACGAACACAAACACCATGCATCAAGATATGCATATGGACAGACATTTCATAGGTACTATAAGCCAAAAGAAAAGGTGAAGCGGTTCAACTGCATTCTCAATTGCATAATAATGCGACGGGCAGGTATCAAGTCTAGTGAAGCTATTTGGCAGTTTTAAAATGGAAGAACCCCATTCCTGTTTTAAAAGGTAAACGAGTCTATTATGATTTCGACATGCATTCATACAAGTTAAAACACAAATTGTAACACAAGCATTTTGTTGAGATAATAGCATCGCATAATTTTAGCAACCCATTGCATATTCAAATGACGAGTAATACTCACAACATGACAATATAGCTAGTAAGAGGGACTGTAACGAGGAACATGAACCAACGCCGAGCCAAGAGGAAAAATGCACAGAACACAATGTGCAATATGAACTCAGGGACAACCAATTGATTGATGCGATTTGATAGTTCGTACGGGTTGATATAGTCAGCCTCCAAGTCTGTTAACATCACATACTACAAAATACATAGCAGTTGAAAAATCATTAGAGTCGTTTCACTCTAGGAGCACAAAATATGAATTTCATTAATGCTGCCCAGTACATTCAACTATGTTTTGAAAATTCTGTAACCCACAAACAACAAAGGCGAATTTTCGGATTTACGATAAAATTTGAACTGATTTCTCTCATATTTATTCATATAAACTGTTCCTATGCTATGCTCCCTTGAAAACCCACAATCCACAGGAAATTAAGAGTGAAATTTCAAAAACCCACAAAATCTTCCACTTTCCCATGAAAATGCAGCACAAATACAAATACATGAGCGATCTCAGAAAGCTCTTGGCTCCACATTAACAAAACAAACCCAAAACGCCCCTAGAAATAAAAATTAGGGGAAAAAGGGAAGCAGCGGTTCTGGGGTTTAAAGGTGGTGGCATTGATTAGAATTTGCGGATTATAAGAAAGAAAGTGAAGAAGAAACAAGTACCTGGTAAAGGCTGGAGGCGAAGAGGGCAAGGTCGACGCAGAAGCAGATGAGCCAATACATCAATTCCCAAGCCATGCCTGCTTGCTTGCTTGCCAAATTTACTAGACTACTAATGGTGCTCTACTGCTAATTCCTTGCTAATTTGGTACGGCTTTCAACTTTCTGGAGGTAAAATACAAATGTCGACATTATAATGAAAAATGATTTTCTTAGCATCTGTGCCATAATTACCATCATGCTAAAGAGAAGACTCTTAAAATATCTCCAACGGAAAGAGCTTCAAAAGCCAAAAAATAATATGATTTGTAAAAAACTCATCTCTAATCGGTAGTTGGACTATAATTCTATAGAGCCTACCAAACCATTATTTAGCTAAACGGCATCAGGCTGGCCACTGCTTTTACATATACTGATGTCGTTTACTTTTTTTTTCCAGGTTGCAGTTGTGGAGGTTAGCCGTAGTCAAATGAAGATTCCCAACAAGTACTTTTGCCCTTCCAGCTTTATTAATATTTCACACTTTCTCGTGTGTGTGACCTTCCTTAGTTTTTTCTTCAAATAAACATGTCACTCTTAAAATTTCATTTTGTAACATCTCTCGATATGGTTAGTTGCAAACTTGCATATCAGTGCTTGTGCCTTCGACTTTCGTGGTGCTTTTCCAAAACGAAATTTAATTTACCTGCGTCTGTAGATTTCTTTTACCAACTAATTCTTATTTTCTGACTGACTAATGCTATCAGTTCATAAATGTCTCCAAGTTTGCGTCTTCTGGAATGCTGATTCAGAAGAAGCTGTCTGATACCAATTTTAGCATTCCCTGCATCAGAGCCGTAATCTTGAGGCTGCTGTCAACTGGTATGTGCCATCACTGCTATAAACTGCTAGAAAACCTGTCTGTCTGTTCTTTGCATGACATCCCCTGTCTTGTAACAATAGAAAGGTTTGTGTTTAACTGCGTATTAGCAGGTTCCAGCATTGTTTTAACATGTGAAATCTTCGTAATTATAATTTTAGCGACGCAGAAATATCAAGCTTATTTCGTTATTTTCTTATTATTGCAGGGGACACTATTGTACTGAGTCCAGGTTGGGCAAGCTTTGATGAATTAAGAAATTTTGAGCACAGAGGAAAGTTTTTCCAGGATCTAGCATTCACTTGCTCATCTGGGTAAAATTTCCACCCAGGATGAATATTTTGTACCTGAGCTCGTAAATTGTTGATCGTTCGGTCTGTACTACTATTGTAAAGGGCGTTTTCCCCAGCTGATCTCTCCTTCAATGTATTTTTCGCAACATTTCTAATGAAATTTATAAATCATTCTTTTTCTAGTGCCTACTAATATTCTCAAGTGCTTTTACTTAAGAGTAAACTTCAAATTTTCTCTCTAGATGGTAAAAGAATGGAGCCAAGTTAACATCGACAACCTTAACACATCTATTCAGGAGTTTTAATGCTTCAATCTCAAATACAAAATTACTCGATCAACCAATCATTGTGGTGACCCGATTTCAACAGAGTGTCGTCATGACAACCACAGTAATCATCGTAACAACCATGACAGTCGTAATCAAAATCTGTCAATATACTGAAAGGGTGCCTTACTTTTCCAATATAGCAAAGTAGCGGGACGCAAGGATTCGAACCTTGATCTTCTCATCTTGTAAAGAAAATTACAAGCTGAGGGCTCTACCATTTTGAGCTACATCCCTTTCGCCCTAATTAACTAATTGAAAAAGGATGCAGTTAATGTAAAGAATCATTAGAAGCAACATGCATAATCAAATTAAGTTCATGGTTCTTAAATGGAAGAGAATAGCAATCCGAAAGAAGACAAAAAAGAAAGGAGTTCCTCAAAGTTGAGAAAAATAACCATGCAATATTACAAGTTAATTATTATAATGAAAGTGAAAACTTGAATGTACCTCAATAAATTGGTCAAAGTTGTTCTTACACTCCAGTATCGTTGGCCTGAGGCATCGTTTTTTCGATGATGTAACCATGCCGACTGGATATCTGGCATATTCTACATTATAATCGGGTTATAAGATGCTTCCAGTGCGATAGATGTATAAACATGCATCATGGCAATCAACACACACAATCAATTATCCGACAAATAAAAAACTGGAAAGCACATGATATGCATAAAAATAAGGCTCTTTCATAAACCAAATGAAACTGGATCGCATTCTAGAATTTAGACAATGCCAACTCAAGAACAGAAGTCAATCATGTTGCATATACAGGTCAAGAAAATGGCACATACATGAAATTATAAATCAGAAATGACTATAGAGAGGCTAAAAGGAAAAAGAGTAATCTACTACAGGAGACCACACACCTCCGAGCCGTTTTCAACCAGTTCAAGCATGAGACCCGTGCGTGTATTCCAGAACTCAATGCACTGGTCACCTTCACCTCCACCAGAGGCTAGCAAATTTTCTTGAAATGGACACCAAGCAAGAGCCTTGATTGCTGCAATGTGATCCTCAAGCCTGTGAAGCCATTTGCGCGGTGAATTTAAAGAGATTGTCGACCTATCCCATATAAAGAGAAGATTGTAATTCCCTCCGCTGGCCAAATGTTGGCCTGAATCTGGCCATTTCAATCCAGAGATTTCCTGCTGGTGACCCTTGAAGGTCCCAACAATGTGGTATCTCACTCTTGGATCGTTATTTGTTATCCGACCGTCCATTCCCCCGGTGGTAAGAATGTTCTTATTCCAGGCCAATGAACCTAATCTTCCTTGGCGCCCACCTCTAAACATTCCTACCCGTTTAAGGGAGATTGAATCCCATAACTGGATAAAGGAATTATTTAAGCCAACGGCAATCTGCCACCCATCACAAGCCCAACTGACGCTTGTAACAGGACCATCTTCCTCATCGATTGTGACAAGTTGTGCAATGGATGAGTTCGAAGCATTCCACAGGTACACTGTGTTTCCAATAGCAACTGCAAGAATATTCTTGCTGCTCCAGTCCAATAAATTCAAGGATAAATCATCTACGATACGTGGAGCATCCAGTATCCTCTCTGGACCCTGAGGAATATGTCGAAGAGATTTGGGCTTATGCAAAGGAGGCAAAAGCAATCTCCTTGGAATGGGTTCAATTGGGGTTGGCGGGTTGTCCTTGAAGGACAGAATTCGAGGCCGATTCATTTGAAACGATTCCTCCAGCATCTTTCGATAAGGAGAAGGGTTCTCTTTGCTTTTTCTTTCTCCTCCGGTGAGCATGAAATGAGCGTAGTCATAGTCCAAAGCGGCACGATTTGGAATAAATCTGTCCAGGTTTTCGGGATTACTCCTCTGGAGAGGGATTCTTGGGTACGAATCCATGGGTTTAATACTTAAATATCACTAACTAACTTAGCTGACCAAGTGAAAACCCAGATTGGGGTTCGTTTTTCTTTAGCTTGTATACAACAAACAGGGTCCTACACTTCAAAGCAATCAAACAGAAAACCCTAAAATTCCAAGTAAGGCGATAAACAGAAATCAAACGGGATAATTAGAAATATAAGAAATAATCAAACAAATGAACCCTAAAATTGCAATTAAGGCGATAAACAGAATATAACAACTAAAAATCAAACGCGATTAAATAGAAATATAAGAAAGCATCAAACAAAAAAAAAAAGAACCCAAAAGAGGGAAGATCGTTTACGATTTAGGGATTCCTTCTTCTCTGGAGGAACAGTGTCGCAAGATTTGAGCTCCGAGCAGCGATCGAATACGGCGCGCGCGAGAGAGAGAATGTGAAATTTGGAAGGAAAGTTACGAGTTCTACGCGGCTACGACTTATAAGCTGTGTCCTGGGGCGGGAATTTCCCGTTGTAAGTTTGTTTGACTAAAATGCCCTTCTTAATTCAAAATCAAATCCAGGATTTACTAAAATAAAAATATAAAATAAAGGCCAAATCGGATAAATGATCCATGTGGTCATAAGGTATTCGGAAGATACCCCTGTGCTAAAAAAAACTCGAATTTAAACCCATGTAGTGTACTGTACTCCGTTAACAAATTTAGTCCAAAAGTGATTTTTCCATTAACTATCTGTTAATACATGGGTAAAATTATACTTTGACATGAATTGAAAGCGGCAAAATAAAAGACGGCGGCGGTGGTGGCAGTAGAAGAAGTGGAGGAAGAAGAAGTGAGAGACATATGCATTTCTTAAGATACGAGTCGAAACCGACAGAAAATGAACCTTTTCCGTACTTCTCCTCTCCCTCCTTTTGATCCTCAGTCTTCCCAGCATTTAATTTCTTCAATCTCTCTCTCCTCTTTTCTCTCTCTCTCTCATAGAGACTTCTGGTTCTTCTTCATCTGCTTTTGCTTTGCTCATATGTCGTCGTATTGTCCTCTTCATCTCGTTCTATGTTGTCGTTGGCTTCCATATGTCTTGGATTTCTCATCGTTTTCAATTTGCTTGGACTCGTGGACTTGTAGTTACTCCGATTGAATCACCGGGATATGCTCCAATCAATCGCCGGATGCATTCTTGAAGACTCTGGAATCGGTTAGGGTTTCTTTACTGTTTAAGTTTTTTCGAGTTGTTGCTGCTGCTGCTACTGCTTAATTTTTAAGCACTTTCGTTGATGATATTATTTTGGCTGTAAATATTGTTAGATTTTGTGCATCCTGAGCTTTCTAATTTCCTCCTGTGATACTGTTTTGTGTGATTCTTGGAGGAAGAAGAGGAGGAGGATTTGCCTTCTGTTTTCGTTCCAAATTTTTGCAAAAAAGAGGAAACAAGAGAAAAGGGAAACCAAAATCATATAAAAAGAAAGAAAATAGACTCCTTTTATTTCAATTCACCCACCATTTTTATTGTGGGGAATTTTATTTTTATTTGTTGATTATACTGAAATTTAGAAGAAGAAAAAGAATTTAGCTTTAAGGATGAGGAGGAGGAGGAGGAGGAAGAGCTGCGGCTTCCTTGTTCTTTGTTGGGTTGTTGCCATTCTATTGGAATACCTGATCGTTCACTACTAGATCTAATAGACAAAGTCAAGTCTTGGATTTCTGGAGGATCAAGCATTTTGCGGGTGTTGTGAAAGTACAAATTACAGACCTTGTTCTTATACATTGGACAATATAAAGACGAGGAAGAAGAAGATGCACACGTCAAAGTACAATTTTACCCATGTATTAACAGATAGTTAACGGAAAAATCATTTTTGGACTAAATTTGCTAACAGAGTACACCACAGGGGTTTATATCCGAGTTTTTTTAGCACATGAGCTATCTTTCGAATACCTTATGACCACAAGGATCATTTATCTGATTTGGCCAAATATAAAATCCAACTTTGGTGCCTCTTTTTCCCAGACTTCTTTTTAACTTTAACCTTGCATATTTTTATTTATTTTAAATAATAAAACAAAAAATAGGAATTTAACTGATTTATAAATTCATAAATTTTAGTTTTTAATAAATTTATGAATTTTGATGAAGTATAATTGATTTCTAGAGATTTTATATAAAATTTTGAGTGAATTCTCATAAATTCTAAAAAAAAGTGAGATTTGAGAATGTTTGCCACCACCTTCACTAAGAGAATATTTTGGGAGAAAGTCTCAAATTTAGGATCTTCAGCTGCACGAGTTTCTTGAGAAATGAAGTCATAAGCACATAAGTTCAGGGCCAGACCTACTACTCCAAGAATACTTATGTAAACTAGCAAAAGGGCCTAAGTATCCTTGAAGAAGCATGGTAAAATACAAGAACACCCTTCATTAACTTGTATTATTTTTTGCCCTTAATACCCTTTAGATTTTAATATACAGAAAAATGCTTTCATTTCATTAATTCAATGCTAATTCTGCTACATTTGAACTTTGATGTATAAATGTGGTGGAGGAACTTTTGGACATTAAATAATTGATGGAAAATTAGATGAAATTTTTTAAAATCTAACACCATGGGCGAAAATGGCTATTTATAAAAGTTCAAGGGGGTAATTGGTTAAAATTCAAGTTCAAGGGGGTAATCGGCTAAAATGAAAGTTCAAGGGGGAATTGGTAGCTGCATACAAGTTCGGGAGGCAAATCAACAAATACCTCTTAAATAATAGATAAAATTGTAGCAATGGTCTCCAAACTTTAACCCAATTGAAGTAATGGTCCATTAACTAAAAATTCATGACCAATGTCCCTTAACTCACAAAAACATGCAGTTATGGTCCTTTTCATCAACTTCGTAGAATTCCGTCAAATGAATCATGTCGGAAGAACCATTGCAACAATTGGTTTAAAGTTGATGACCATTCCTCAAATTGTGTTAAAGTTAAGGAATCATTTATTCAATTGGGTTAAAGTTGAGAGAACATTGCTACAATTCTTCGCATTTGGTTTTCCATATTTGCCCCTTCATTCAGCCTCGTGCGTGATGCAACGACCCGTTTTAATTAGTTAAAATTACGAAAATACCCCTAACATTGAAAACGTTGACTTCCGTTGACATGTAGGAAATTTTATTTTATTTTATTCCCTCGTCGATACGAACGCGTAGGCGTGAACGGATTGGATTTCGGAGCTAAAACTAAGTCTACGTATTTTTGAACATCAAGGGCATTTTGATAATTTCATAATTGGAGATATTTCTCCACTTTAGGCATTCCCTTGGCTGACACGTGGCAAGTTACCCCCATTTTTTCTAGGGTGTTCCTTTTTGTCCCGTGACCCTCTCCCTCTCTTATTTTTCATTTTTCTTTTTCTTCTTTCTTCTTCTCTTATTCTTTTCTTCACTCACTTCTCTCCCTCTCTTGGCCAAAGAACACACACACACACACTCATGCATCAACAAACGAACAATACCACCAACCCTCCTCTTGAACAACAAAAATATACAACATAAAAAAAATAGAGTCCACACAAATTTGGTCAAATTACAAGGCAAAACAAAAATATAATTCAGCCCAAAAGATGATGATGTGCTTTACATACAAGTCAAACAGCCATAAATAAATTTAAAAAAATATATATCATGGTAAAAGTAAACAGGATGTGAATCCCTTCATGCAAAAGGGGGAAACATGCAAAACAGGGGGGCTCCCCACTTTTCTACAACAAAAGAACGTGGAAGAGGTTAAAAGAAAGTGGCAGAAAACATGACCTCCATCTCTCCCACGTAAAAAACTCTAGAGCCTTTCCAGGATACCTATAAATAGGCATCAGCTACAGCAAGAAGAAGATAGAAAAAGAGAGGGGATACTCTGCAAAAAATAAGAGAGACGTTGAGAGAAAATACCAAAAGCAACGAAGTGCTGCCAAAAAATAGAACAAAGAGTTCAACCATTTGTGCTTTCGAATCAAGATCCAAAGAAGAACATTCATCACCAGGTATGAAACAAGTTCTATTAAAATTATTCTTTTTCTCTTGTTTGATGTTATGTTGCAGAAAGAACAAAAAAAAAAAAAACATTGCAGCAGAGACCACTGCAGAGAAACAAGTAAAAAAAGGGGGAACAACAAGCAAAAGATCCACGGCAAAATGATGTTCCTTTTCTCTAATATTTCTTTTAGCCTTTTTTTGGCTTTTGTCTCCTTGTTTAGCATTCTCCTTCACCAAACAAATGGAGATGTAGACTCTGAACAACCTACCAACTCCCCATTGTCAGCAGCAGAAATAATCCCATGAATTTCTTCGGGGTGGCCTAAACCACCCCATGAAATTCCGATCAAATCTAAAGAGGTCCATGGTCGACGTTCATATCAAGAAAGAAAGTAGCAATCAGTGTCACAACAAGCAATGGATTTGGGTAAAAAAAAAAAAGAGATAGTTTTGTTCAACTCCAAATATGGATGGCAACCTTTTCTTCATTCGATCACCAACTGTGCAGAAGCTTGTTGGCAAAAGCAGAACAACATGCCCCAAGTAGATGGCATTTTCCTAAATGTTCTATACTTTAAAAGATTATTCCAGAAAAGGAGGAAGAAGAAAAAGACTTCTAGATAACATGAATGTCATTCGCGTTGTTGTTATGTTGGGGTAAGGTTAGTTCTAATTGCCATATGTCAGAAAAATCAAGCTAAGGGAGCAGACATAGGAAGCCAAGTCTTATATGTAAAGTCATTCTTTGAGGTCCAATGAAAGAAATGGATGCATTTGTAGACAAATAGACAAAGGAAAAGAAGTCAAATGCAACTTTATTCCCTTGACCGACTCATGTTTGGTCTAAATTCCACAAAAGGAAGTCCCCCAATTCAACTTTTGATAAAGACAAGTAAAAGAAAGGAGGAAGGTGTCCTTCGAAGGACTTAAGTGTGGCGATCATTTTTGGGTCAAAATTTTGACCAAAGGCTTTGAAATGAAATTGTCAGATGCTACAAGACAAAAAGGAAAGAAAGAATGGCAAGTATCAAAGACAACACTTGCACAAATGTTAAGGAGAAAGAATGGCAAGTATCAAAGACAACACATGGATGGGAGCACAAAAATGGTGACCAATGCCTACTGTCAAGATCAGTCAAATAGTTCTCTATATGGAAACAGAGATGTCGGAAAGTGATAATTACACATTAACGCACCAAAAACCCAATCAAGTATGGCAAACATGAAGAGTGTTTCTACAAATTTTAGGGGGGCAATTCTCACATTTGGAGCCATGAATCAACACTTGTTTTCAAAATACTACAAAATAGTTTGTCCAACAACTAATCGAAGAGATACTATTGCCAGAAACTCATGCACGAAATAATTAAACCAATCAGTTGCAGTTCAGAGTTTTAACCCACTCCAAATCAAACCCAAAACATTTAAAAAAAAACGAAAATGGGGTGACCTGCTGATTATTTTCTCCTCCTTTTTGCTTTGAATTTTTGCTCCACAAAAGAATTACAAGCCGGGTGGTAAGAGCAAGAGAACAATGCAGCAGAAAAATAAAAGAGTTTATGACCTGCACAAGAAGAAGCCTTTGCGATTTAAGGGCAGAAATAATGGTAAATTGAATAAATTTGAAAAGGATATGAGCTCCAACAAACCTTACCCATTCTCACTTGGAAATCAACGGTTACCTAATCCAAATGGAGGTTCGAAATATACGAAATTCACGGAAGCCCAAGTATATCGGAATTGATTCTTGCTTCTGGAGGAAAACCATGTGTATTGGAGCCAAGAAAAAAATGGGAATTTCTGCTGAAAGCCATCTCGCAAGAGGGGGAAGGGTGTGAATAAAATCTGCACCTCACACCTCACGTGGAGAAGAAATGAGGTTATTGAAATTGGAAGTCAAGTTGTTGAAATGGGAAGACAAGTCCTATTAGAACTTGGAAACCTTTAAAGTTACATAACAAATAAAGAGTAAAGCTTGCTGTCAGATTGGAAAGAAGCTTAGGTCTTGGGTCAAACGGGTTCAAAGTCCCATATCAAATGAGTTTGAAAGTTCAAAAGAAAAAAATACATAAAAAAATAGGGGGAAGAAATAAGAAGTTTACTATATACAATTCCCTCAAATTAAATGGGAATGCCACCCACGTGGAACCCAGAGAAAAAAAAGAGAGTAGCTCTTCCATATTACACATGTGGGCTTTATGAATATGGCATCCATCAAAGTTAAATTTATTCAAGAAGTCTGAGATGCACGGCACCAAGACAAAGTCAAATACCAAAGTAATAGTGGGTTCATCACAAATATTCCCATTAAATTTACAAGACACAAAAGGCACGAAGCCGCAACAAGACTCAAATGACATAAAGCCGCAACAAAACTCAAATGGCACAAAGCTGCGTTCCAGCTCCAATGGTTTAATGTCCTCGCCCGCATGAGCTAAAACTGCACAAGGCATTAAAAGCTCAAATGGCTCAAAGTCCTCACTCGTATGAGCTAAAACTGCACAAGGCATCAGTTGCTCTTTACCTGCATGAGCTGAAACTGCACAAGGCATCAAACCCCAACAAAACACATAAGGAACTACGAGTGACTTGATCCCTCAACGAGGGTACATAGGCAATCTAGGACTCTACCTAGGTGTAGTCACAAAATCAAATAAACATCCAAATCCCCAAATTACAATTTATTCATATTAGAATAAAAGGGTATTCATTTCCCAAAAGAAGTGTTGTAATTAATAGGCGCGTAACTTAAAATGGGTCGAACTCAAATTAATAAAACCCTCTTCGGAAAAATGAACGAGGGTGAAATCGTGTCGAGTGAATTATTTATTTACATATTGTGTACAATTTTTACTCAACACCTCCACCCTTCCTAGCTTCTTTAATGAAGTCTTGAACCAAAAAACAGAAGAAAAACCACTTTAAAACCTCTCTCCCCGTGCTGCATAGTGTCATCACTGTGCAACATTTTTCTCTGGCGAATTCTTGCTATTTTCGGCCAAGGAAAACACAAGGAAGGTCACTATTCATTTCTAGAAATTTCCAAATCCGTGATCATTTGGCCACCTTCCAGCCATTTTCTAGCCAACTTCAATCTTTGTTGGGTCTCCTAAGGATGCATCAGTTGGAAGTGACCCCGTCCTCCCAAGTTTGAGCAGCTTCCCGGTACCGGAATATTTATGAGTGGACCCCTTATTAAATTACATGTTTTTATAAAATATTAGGCTTGCATGCATTTCATATTTCATGAATTGATAATGAGTTATAATATGTTTTACGGATTTCTATAATTATGGTTACGGAGAACTTATGATTATTTATATTGTTTTTACGAAATATTTATGGCTTGCCCATTTACGGTTTATAAAATGGCATATTTAGAGAAATCACATTCATGGCTTGTTTATGATTTTGGTTGACGAGATTCTAAATGCTAAGCTTGGTATGAGTTTTCGAGATACATTTTTGGTGCTTATCTAGTGGGTTATCATACAACACATACACACAACACGAGTATGTAGACATTTATGGCCATAGGACACAGTTGAGGATATATATATTTCTTCTCTGGTGTAGCCCAAAGTCGTGCAACTTCACATTCGGGTGATGGAACTTACCCTAGTTCTTCATTGGCGTAACCTAGTGTCATACAGCTTCACCTTCAGATGATGGTTATGTCTTCGGGCGACTATGACACCCCTAGTTGAGTACTTTTTTATTTTGGGTTTACGAGCTTTCTCTGATTTGCCTTTGGGCTATTTCGATACCACTTTTAGATATGGTTTTATTATCTACGAATGTTTTCATGGCACGTTAGAATTTTTAGAAAACCTACTATGTAGTATTATATACATTTTCAAAACAGGGGGTTAATATGTTCAGAAAGAAATTGGTTTTATTATTATTAGTATTAGTATAAATTATGGTTCACTCACCTTTTTGTTTTTGCGCCCCCTTCAGGACATAGTGACGAGGAATACGACTCGATTTTCGAGGCATTTCCCTACCAGTAATCTTGCTTTCTTCCACTTGCGTGTGGCTTCTTTATGTATAATCGTAACTTGATGTCTTACCTTTCACTAGTACTTCCGTTTAGTGGTGTTGATGCACAAAATCAGCGAAGACTTTGGTACAACAGAAAGTGTCAGGTTTTATGACCTTCGCTTGGTTGCTTCGGTCACTAGTGAGGATAAGTACGTAAATGAATAGAGACAGAGAAGCAAACACAGGATGTACGTGGTTCACCCAGATTGGCTACGTCCACGGAGTAGAGGAGTTCTTATTAGTAGTGAAAGGCTTACACAAGTACAAAGGATCAAGCTCTCAATTTAGTGAGTTCTTGTGAATGATTTAACACAAATAGCATTAGGCAATATTGTGGGGGAATGACCCCTATTTATAGAAAAACTTGTAGCTTTGTCACATTGACATGTGTCATGTTGTGATTGGTTCTTGATGTCGACACGTGCTGCGCTCTGATTGGCTTCTAATCTTGACACGTGTCGAGTAGTGATTGGCCTCCCGGTCGGAGGGGAACTCTTCTGGGTCCTTGACAGTATAGCGTTGGCCGGTGCTCGGTAGTTTCGGGATTGGTCAAGTATGGTACAAACAAGTGGTATACTCTGGACATATTTTATTTAGGATTTATGGCCGTTGGACATTCTGTTTTGTTCATGTTTAATTTGGATTATTATTATTGCTCTTAGGGTTAGCATATTCCTTGTGATTATTGTTTGTTGTATGACTTTTGGATTACATGTCCCCTCATGTCCTCGCAAATTCATATTCATGGCTTTCGTCACTCTCGAGTGACGGTCAGCACGTGTCATCCATGTGTCATTTGGATATCTAGGTTGGGGCGTGTCAAGTGACATCGTAACTTATTTTGACCAAAGTTCAAACCGAACTGATGAAAAGGACCATAGCAGCACATTTTGATGAGTTAAGGGACCAATGATCATGTATTTTTAGTTAAGTAACCATTACTCCAATTGAGTTAAAGTTAAAGGAGAATTTCTACACTTTCCTCTAAATAATAGTCTCAATACAATTTCTGTTAGATTTTTTTTATAAATAATATTTAACTCAAACTTTTTAAAAGGAAAGTGGTATTTGACTCATTTTTTATCTACACTTTTCTTTTAGCATTATAAAGGTATGATTGATAAAAAATGTCTTCCGGTATGATTGATAAAAAATGTCTTCCACTTGACAGAAAAACTTGAAAGCTAGTTTGATACCATTTTAATGTTCAATTCTTTAGTAACCGTGTTTTGAATTTTTTTTTCTTCAAGAAATTCAAGCCGAAAATTAAATTCAAGCCAAAATTTGAAACTGAAGACGATTGATCTCTCTCTAGTAACTGTGTTTTGTTGTTTGTTAATATTGTTAATGTGTTGGTGTTTTGATTGATCTCTCTTGTTTTTTCACCAGTCTATTTTCAATGATGTTAAAAGCATCTTTAAAGAAGATGTCAAATTGTAAACATAAAACTTAAATTTGAAAACTTATTTACAATTTGATCTTTTTTTTCTAAATTTTGTTCTATACTCAATATGTTAAATTTAAACTGTTATTTATTATATTATCTACTTTTCACAATTGTAATAGCTATTTTCAGAACAAAAAATAATAAAAAATTGATTAAAAAAATACATTTAGTAACCACTAAAAATGGATTTGAAGTTGGAATTGGCATTTTGGTGGGAATTGGAAATTACTAATACTGTCTTTTTTCCTCCTTTGCGTGTAGAAAGTAAGTTGGTGTAGAACTACAAATCATGTATTCGAATAAAATTTTCCTTTTGACTTTTGACAAAAACGTGAGTTATGTTAATTAATCAATATAGTGCGCTCACCCCTTGCGAGTTCGAACCCTCCCGATGCGATTACACGATTCTTCTCTGCACGTCATTTTTCACCAATGAACGTTTAGTTAATTAAATCTCAACCGTATATTATGAGAAATTATATTCACACACCCCAAATTACTTCTCCCACACCTTTTTAATTTTTTAATATTTTCTACACACCACTAACACTTGATAGAAAAATATTAGAAAATTAAAAAGGTATGAGAAAAGTAATTTGGGGTGTGTGAATATAATCTCCCTATATTATTGTGTTTTGATGCTTAAGAAAAAAAGCTGGATAAAATTAGAAATCAAACATGTGAAGCAAAAGCCCATATGAAAAACCATAAGCCCAAGTCCGGTCGACCCTGTTATCCGTAAACACAGCAAAAAGCAACTGAGAAGTGACAACTGAGAAGTAGCAACCAGAAGCCACCGGGTCCGACACAAAAATTGCCATGTCTTCATATATTCATTGCTTGTGAATTGAGTAATGCCTTTTGTTTGATTGATGCATTGCAATTGGCAGGTATTCCTTTCTTCCTTCCACTTCCAGAACCTTCTTTCTCTCCCTTCTGGAATTCTCCGGAATTATCCATTTACTTATTAACCTCCTCTCCTGTACATACAAGCTTTTCTCTTAAATAGTTTCCCTCTTTATTTTGTTCATTTGCAATCCCAGCAGGTACTTTTTTTTTCCAGTTTCTATAATCCTCATAATTTAAGCCTAAGGAATTGGAATTAGAATTAGAATCTTATGTGAAAATTTGAATTGTTGGGTATTTTGTTGTTGTTGAATCTTATTTTGCGTTATGCGATACCGCTAAGGATTGAAAGTTTTGTGTAGTATGGTTGAAATTAGGGTAGTTTCTAATTGATAGTATAAAAATGTTAAATTTATAATCTCTTGTATATTTTCGTTGATGTTTTATAGTTCATGTATGAAAATCCTTTGCCATGTGTGTGTTTCTATAACGCGGGTTTAACTGGTAGGGAGGATCTCCGTTGATGTGAAATGGCATGAAGTTAAATCTCGATTACCAAGGTAATGTGATGGTTTACATAACTTTGATGTCCCTTCCTTTTGATCTGTGTATTCCTTCTTACTTGCCATTTGCTTAAGTTTTTGGGGTTGACAAACCGAATCGTAATGAGATTTTGAAGATCGGTTTGATAACTAAGTCAACAGATCTCGGATTCAGTTTCGAATTCAGCTCAGTCTTCTGCTTTTCACGAAAACCAAATGCTAAGTGGGGTACTGATCTGGCCAAGATCCTTATTCTCTTTCGACCTGAGATATATCGATACTACAATTCTGGCGCTATGCTTTTCATAACATATGAAGATAACTTGATCGTGCAGGGATAAACCATTTTGCAAGAAGTTCTGCATGTTGTGTTTCCAATGTTACTAATACTTTTTAACTTTAACGATCTCATCTCCCTGTCTAGATTGATTTCAATTGCAAACTCGCGCTTCTATATTCGTTACATAATGATACTAACGAGTAATTCACATTTTTCTTTTGCCTTAGGCTATGCGAATGCAATTGTTTGTCCTACCATTAACCATTCGCCGAAGACTACTGTCTGCCTGAGTGACTGTAACCTAATGCAGATGAGCAGTACGATCTGTAGTGTGGTGTCACGAGGAGCATCAAGTTCATGTTGTTACGCCCTGCAGACGGGGAAGTCGGGAACAAAGTTTGTCCGTTTGTCTAACTCCAAGACTCGTCCATCCAGTATTGGCCAAACATCCTATGCAAGCTGCTGCTTCAAATCTTTCTTCTCCAAGGAAATAGGCAACTCACGGTCATTAACAGTTAATGCTGGAGGGCCTCATAAGCGACGTTTTGACATTTCATTTACCTATCACGGTATGAAAACCAGGCTTTTGGTTTCAGGACAAGGAATGCTTCCCAAAATCAAGTGTAATGTGCGCCGTGTATCTTGCCCACAAGGATGCGCCTCTTCTGGCTTATTATTTGGGTTGTTGGTCTGTAATTGTTCTGAATCAGCGCATGCTCAAGCAGCTCACAAGGACAATAAGGAAGAGGACAGTGATTTGTCATATGTAAAATTTTCTCATGGGAAAAAGGTTTACACTGACTATTCTATCATTGGTGAGTAGGCATCCTTCTTAGTTTTCATAATGTCTTTTTACAACAGATGAATCCTGTAAGTTTTAGCCGGTGTTTAATGATCTCTATATGGCACAGGAATACCTGGTGACGGGAGGTGCTTATTCCGTTCAGTTGCTCATGGGGCTCATTTACGAGCTGGAAAATCAGCTCCCGGTGAGAGCCTTCAGAGAGAATTAGCGGATGGCTTGAGAGCTAGAGTATGTCTTTGTACCTTTTCCAGTCCGTTCCGTGCACATCCTAAGCCAAAGCCCATAAATCCAGAAAATAATGAAAGAATCTTGATACTGAATTATCTACTTTTGCCCATGGATATTTTAATGTCATTGATGCGTTGGTATGTTAAATTTATAGGTTGCGGATGAATTTATCAAAAGGAGGGAAGAAACCGAATGGTGAGTTTTCTGATTGTGAGCTTAACTGATGTTTTGACAACCTCGTGTGCTCTATTACATTTCCTTTCTGAATGACATATATGCTATCCATCTTTTACTATCCTAGAAGAATTGCATGTCATATTTCTGTATACAAATATGTGGAGGATAATATCCGAGGGAGAAATCACAACTTTAGGGATTTGATTGGGGGAGTTTGATGTAATTAGGGAGAGCGAGCAGATTTTGGGTTGACTTGTATAATCAAGCGAAGATGCAACTCTTTTAGACGGCGGATTACTGAAGTCCTAGATCTCCCTTTTGTTCTTCTTCTTCCTTCCCCAATCTTTCTCATTCCCTTTCTTCTCTATTTGAACCACCCTTCTTTTTCTCCCTATTGGTAAGGCGTCAATATATGAAGCAAAAAGTGAAAACACGTTCCGAGTGCATGATGCTTTTGCGGTGAAGGCATATGGGTAACCAACACCAGCATAATTTTACATAATTTTCCAAGTTATTCGAAGTTTTTGATGATGGACTTGTATTTGATGTCTGTACAATGTGACAGGTTTGTTGAAGGCGATTTTGACACTTACGTTTCCCAAATAAGAAAGCCACATGTATGGGGAGGTGAGCCTGAGTTGTTCATGGCTTCACATGTTCTCCGGTAAGTCCTCTCCCTGCGTTTTCACGCTCGCCAGTATAGTTACAGAAGCACATCGGTATTGAAAACTGTATTACCATAGGAACATAGTTCATCCACAATAAACATTGCTACGAAAACCCAGCGGAAAAAAACCTTAGCACATCAGTATTGAAAACTATATTATTACGGAGCTTTCTATTGTTGGACATTGGAATGACGAATCCATTGGTTACTGTAGGATGCCAATTACAGTATACATGTACGATGAGAAGGCCGGTGGCTTGATAACCATTGCCGAGTACGGGCAAGAATACGGCAGGGACAACCCGATCAGAGTTCTCTACCACGGCTTTGGCCATTATGATGCGTTGCAGATTCCCGGAAGGAGCGGAGGTAGATCGAGGCTTTAGTATATGTATTTGACAAAAAGTAGGACGAATGACCAACATCCTTAAAGGAATGACGTCCAACTCAATAGCATTATGATGTACGTGTTCATCTTATATTGTACTTGAAGTCATTTTTTCTTGGTTTTTAATGTTGTTTAACAGAATGTCTTGGCTGCTTCTGTATGGAGGACATAAGAATTTCTTTTTAACTGAAACCGCTTTTAGTAGAAACTTCAGTTCACCAAAAAGTTGATCCGAGGCGTAAAAAAGAATGAGTAGCGGTTTTCACACTTCTCTTTTAGCTGTATGCACACCAAAATTGCATGTTTTAACCATTTGAAAGGTCAAAATTGAAAAACTCATACCTAAAGCGTGAAGTTAATCCATGGTTCTCTTTTAGCGGTTTTCACACTTCTCTTTTAACATGTTTGAAAGGTCCAACATGTTAGCGGAGTTTTGTTTTTGAAACAATTATTTTAACATGAAATCAATCAATCTATGGGGTGTGTAGCCTAAAGACTACTCGGTGCTGCAAAGCGTTTTAGCCGTTGGATTTAATTGAAGTAAAATTGCAACCTATGTAGTTTAATTTTGAAAATATAGTGTATTTGAAAGTAGATGTGGGCCTTCAAAATATTGGATTGGAATCGAAAATGGGCCTTCAAATCATTTAACCCAAACGGATACCAGCGAAAAATAAACAGTGGTTACGTTTTGTACCTTCGTTAAGTCCCCTCAAAACCCCTCCGCCTCTTCCTATGTTGCCTGCCGCTGCACCGCTTCCTCCTCCTCCTTCTTCTTCTTCTTCTTTCCATCCGTCGGTCTCATCGCCCCACCACCTCCACAGCTTTCCCTCATTCTCTCAGTCTCATTCTTCACTCTGTAAGTTATACTTCATCTTGCTCGGCAATAATATTTTTCTTGATTTTCTGTGATTACCATTACTAATTTGAAAACTTTGACATCTTTTGCATAAATTTGAGGCCCAATTAGTTGGATATCAAATTATATTACTTTTTATGGTTTGAGCTGTTTGTTGAAATGATTACTCTCAGTTTATTTGATTATTTTGGATTTTAGAAATTTTGTTGTGTTTGAGTTTACACATATTCTAGTTGAATTTGTGTCAGTTTTGTGGTTAATTGTGCATGTTGCTATTCGGGTTGGTTTCGACGGCAACTTGTAATGTGTGCATTTTGTTTTCTTTTTTCCTAGTAGAAAAGCCATCGTCTAGTTCAAACATTGGAGTGGATTCTGGATTGAATTGAGAAAACTATAGAGTAGAAACTGCAACATTCTACGGGCCTACGAACATATTTTCTTGCGTAAATTAGGCACCGATCATTCGTTGCGTATAGTGAGAAAGAAAGAGGAAAGTAATAAAGGAATGGAGATAAATTTGGGGCACTTGGCGTTTGACATTGATTTTCATCCATCGCAGCAGTTGGTCACTACTGGTCTTATCAATGGCGACCTTCACTTGTACCGATACACATCTGATTCCGTACCACAAAGGTCATTACTTTTTAAGTTCCTCTGGCCTTTTTTCTTAATTACTCTTTTGTATTCTTATATAATTATAATTACTTGTGGTGATGACTAAGATGAATATGATATTAGGGTGTTGGAAGTTCATGCACACAGTGAATCTTGCAGAGCTGTTCGGTTCATCAACAATGGCCAAGGTTTTATTGATTTTTTTAGTTATTTGATATTGTTGCCATACCGTAATTAGTTGTGCTGATAAGAAGCTACTCATGGACGATAATGTTAGCTATTTTGACGGGATCTCCCGACTGCTCAATTCTTGCTACGGATGTGGAAACTGGTGCTTCTATTGCTCGCCTGGACGAGGCTCACGGGTCTCTATTTCTCTCTCTGCTCTGTAACTAGTCAGCTCTCAAGGAATTCTTATTTTGGCCATATCCTAAACATTACCTTAATCTGATGCAGGTCTGCGGTCAATAAGCTTATCAATTTGACCGAGTCCACGGTGGCCTCTGGTGATGACGAAGGCTGTATTAAGGTCATTTTATGTTACTTGTGCCTCATTTACTGTTGTTTTCGTTGGTTTTATCATGTGTTTGACATTGCTTATTGCTCAGGTGTGGGACACCAGGCAACAATCTTGCTGCAATACTTTTAAAGCTCATGAAGAGTACATTTCCGATATGACTTTTGCAGCTGATTCCATGAAACTCCTAGGAACTAGGTAGTCCTGCATTCCCATTATTATTGTATTCCTTACTTTTGCGGCAAATGACATACGCTCAAGAGTTGTTTATTTATATTTCTTCTTTTGCATTGTTAAGTGGAGATGGGACTCTTTCTGTTTGCAATCTTCGAAGAAATAAAGTAAGATTTTTTTTCTTTCCAAAATTCCATAGCATACATGCTCAATGCTCATAGTGGATTACTAAAAGATTTCCAAATTTGGTTCTATGGTTATTTCAGGTTCAAGCTCAATCTGAATTTTCAGAAGAGGAGCTACTGTCCGTGGTTATCATGAAGGTTCACTGCTTTCTCCTATCCCTTTGAATTTCTCCCAGTGATTTTATGATTTCTTCCAGTTATTCTTAACCTTTCATGCTGGTTTGATCAGAATGGTCGGAAAGTTGTTTGCAGCTCACATATTGGGAATCTATTATTGTATTCATGGGGCTGTTTCAAGGATTGCAGGTATATTATATTTTAGTTTCTAATCATGTGTGAAAAATTGAAAAATGTACTTGACTGTAAGAGATATTGTCTATAAGCATGAAGGAAAGACTTTCAATTCTATTACACCTCTCTCCCTCCCACTTCTGATTTTCTCTTCTGGATGACTCTTCAAATTCCAGTGATCGATTTGTTGATCTCTCTCCGAATTCTGTGGATGTTTTGTTGAAGGTGAGTTGGTCATATATCTATTTTACATATGTTGGCTTTTGATATTTGTACGACTGTTGTTCGTTGAAGCATTTTGGAATTTTCTTGTGTCAGCTTGATGAAGATAGGTTGATCACTGGATCGGAAACTGGACTTATCAGGTGAAACTGCATGCAGAATTGATTCATAATATTTCAACTGTTCTTTTAACTTTTTTATCGTTAAGATTGATTTCACACAAATTTGTTTCAGCCTAGTAGGTATATTACCCAACAGAGTCATCCAACCTATTGCAGAACACTCAGACTATCCAGTTGAGGGTCTCGGTAATGCATTATTTTCTTTTCTGGAGGGTTGAGTAAACAAAACGTGTTTCTTTATTCCACTTTTATTGTTGTCTTGAGGAAGTTGAGGATACATATCAGTTTATAATTCATAGAAAATACATTATGGCAGCGAACTCATTGATCATGAGTTCAATATGGTCTAGTTATCCGAGTTCAATATGGTCTCATTGTTGAATCTTTACCATCAACCTAAAATCAAATTTTCTTATTTGTTTATTATTTGTAACTCTTCACTTTTATACTCTGGCCTTTTAGGACTCATTAATCTGCAAGTTACCTCCTGGGCTGTGTTTGGTTAACAATTTTTTTTTTTTTTTTTTGCTTTTGTAGCTTTCTCCTATGATAAAAAGTTTCTGGGAAGTATAGCACATGATCAGATGTTGAAGGTGTGTGTGCGTGTGTGTGTGTGTGTGTGTGTCTGTCTGTCTGTCTCTCTCTCTCTCTCTCTCTCTCTGTGCTCAATATACTATTGTCTATTGTGGAAAATGCTTTTTTAACCCGTCGCACTTATGGTTCTGTGATGCAATCTTAATTCACGCTTACATTCTAGTGTATGAAGTTTTAACTTTGTATGCAAATATCACTTCTCTTAGAGTTGAACAGTTTCCAACCTATTTTCTAGTGATGATTTTATTGGGTTTTTGAATTTACTATTGACAATCGTTTAATGCAGCTATGGGATATGGATGAATTATTGCAAGGTTCTACAAATACATCAAGGCCTCAAGCAGCTGCAGAGGACAGCGATAGTGACGATATGGATATGGATATGAATCCTCCGAAGTCTAACAAAGGTTGGTTTATTTGATAAAAGAGAAATAGGGAATTTCGTTTGACTCCAAAACCAAGCACAATAATCATGTAACCGGAAAACATTCTTCTGTGTTGTATTTAACTGATATGACCGTCTTCTGCAGGTACAAAGAAGAAAAATGCAAGCAAAGATCGTGTTTCGGGAAGTTCAAATGATTTTTTTGCTGATTTACAGATGGAGGGTTGAGTACGGTTTTTCAACTTTGGTACGACACTTTTCATGGACAAACAAAATACCTATAGTTTCATGGTTCCCTTCGGAGTTGGTAGACCTGTTGATCAATGATTCCCAACACATGCTTTAGGGGATTGGAATGTATTCGGTTTTGGTTTATGTTAACTTTATCATGTGTGGGAGGGAGGGTTTTTTTATTTAGTTGTCGAAACAATCTGATGAATCTGGAGTTGTAAAAATATCCGCTGGCAAAGATTTCTCCGTCGAGTATTGCCATCAGTTTAAATCTCTTCTTGAGTTCTGGCTGCACCATGCACACAATAATGAAAGGAATACTCCGAACAGACTAGTACGACATGGCCGGACATGGAGGTTAACTCGAGTCGATTCAAGCGAGCACAATCCGGTCAAATGTGACCGAAATTCGAGCGTTAATACCTTGATCCTGAAACCAGGAACTTGAAAAAAGCTCTGTTTTATTGTTTTTGTAGGCTCGGGTTACACAAAACTGAAATTTTTGTTTTTCCTCATTTGTTGGGTCGGGTTATGGCCCAACGTCTTACTCATTCTTACTCATATCTTTGTATTTGTATGTGGAAATTTATGAGTGTTTTTGTATAAAGCGTTGTTAAAAGAAAAACGGTGAAATTTTATTAAATGCCTTCATAAGGCACTTCGGAGTAGTATTTGCTTCTGGAGGTGTTGGGATAAGTCTTCAATTGCCCGGGCTACTCGATAATCCGGCTTGATATCTATTAAATTGGTAAATAAGTAAAAAAAATATGAGTCGACCGGATTATTGAAGAAAAATTAGAGGTGTTGAGATCACAACACGTGTCACCGGGTGATGTTCACAAGAGAAAATACTATGGACGAGACGAGAGAGCTCGAACTCGGATTCTGTTGACCAGTATCCCACTAGAATTTTGAATCTCAAAATTTTACAATGAATTGACATAAATACCCCGGGTTGCTTAGTTAGTGGAAACTGAAAAGTGTAACAAGCATTGTCTGCATGTGTAAATAATGTCATTGTCAAACGATCTTCTGACACCCATCACTAAATTACAATACAGTCCCCACACAAACACTTTTTTGGATAAAGTTTTTAGGATAATGTTAAAGAAATTGTTAAAATGGTTTAAATATGTGTAACGAGGACTTATACATGTTCCGGTTAAGAGATAGAGGTTAGAGATGTGATATCCACACACCTTATTTTACTTCTCACATATCTTTTTAATTTTTAACCGTCGGATCGGATGAATTGAAGAAGATCAACGGATAGAAATTATTAAGGGGTGTGTGAGAAGTAAAATGGGATGTGTGGATAACACACCCCTAGAGGTTAAGGGTAAAAGAGGTAGAGGTCGTCTTAGAAATATACTTAGAAAGAGGCTTTAAGAAAAGACATAGAATATTTGGAGCTAATGAACGACTTGCCATAAAACGAGTGCAGTGATGTTCTACGAATCATAAAACCGACCTTACTTAGTGAAATAAGAATTTTGTTATTTTTTATACAAAAATATTTTACACTAAAGATGAGGACTGACCTAAGCCACCTAATTTATTTTTTCTTTAAATAAGAGGATCAGCTGGTGGCTCCTAAGGCATTGGCCATCATAATGCGATTCATCGACGCCAGAACATAGAGCGTGCCGTGTAAAATACAGATATGAAATTCGTCCTTAACCGCTAAGTCACTCCATGGTGGTTCTAAGCTACCTAAGTGAGCAACATAATATTTGGCATCAAATAATATCCAACAGGATCCTCTACGAATCCTCTTTATGAAGATCTCGGAAGTTCGTAAATCGTGTTCGTTCATCATATAAAATAATTTTTAACCACACAATATACAATGAACGGACACAATTTATTATACTCGAGATTCTCACAAAGAGGATTATGAGAGGTTCCGGATTCAAATAATATTAGTCTCCAGTGTTGAACTTAGTGGCAATGTTACTCTTGATCAAATAAATAACGCTCTAAATGTCACTTTACCTTTATAACCCTTGAATTTGAATTTGGGCACAACGGTAACGACAATTGCAGGTGGGAACAAACAGGATAACCCAATCTTGTCTTCTTGAAAATAATTAAGCTAATAATACAAAGGGATTAGTTGTATATCCAGTCTCAAAATTCACAAATCTTCTCATTCCCCCTTCTTTTGCTTGTTTTGTTTGAAATTAAACAAACTTTAATCACGTTGTTTTCCAAAAAAAAAAAAAAACAAACTTCAATCATGTTTTAATTTGTTCTTAATTTTCCAAACGATCAAACACCAAGTATTTTGAATATACCCATATAAAAAGAATAAAAAAAATAAATTAAAAAATGCTAAACATTGGGGATTTGCAGCTAACTACTCATTAGACCATCTCAAATTTTAAACCTAAAATTTAAATTTAAAGGCTTATGTGGCACTTTGACATCTTTTAAAGTTTTGTTTTTCAATTGATATGGCAAATTTTAAACATAAAATCAAAATTCATATGTATTTCTTTGCATTGAGAAAGAAAAGAAAAAATAGGATAATGCTTTAAACCAATAAAAATTAATAAAAGGAATTTAATAATTAATTAAATTTTTTTGAAGGTGCTGTCAAATTTGGCAGCAGGGGAGGAGAAATGTCATTCAATGTTATGTGACATCAGATTTGGTTTATCGGAAACATTAAAAATATTTTTTGTTATCGTTATTGCTGATTTAGACATTTTGATCTTTTTTTTTTTGGAGATTCTTAGTGCAACAACATTGGTCATATGTATTTTCTTTACACTGAGAAAGAAAAGAAAAAAAGGATAATGCTTTAACCAATAAAAATTTAATAAAAAGAATTTAATAATTAATTAAAAAATCTGAAGGTGCTGTCAAATTTGGCAGCAAGGAGAAGAAATGTCATTCAATGTCACGCGACATTAGATTTGGTTTCTTGGTAACATTGATACTATTTTTTGTTATCATTATTGCTGATTTGAACAAAAATAGATGCTTAGTGCAACAAGACTTGTCAGCAAAATTCAAACTTCCCTCGAATAACACAATTCTCCACAATTTCAAACTCAGAACTGCAAAACCCCTTCTTCTTCTTCCTCCGGTCTCTCTGCAACTCCATATGAACCAGTAGAGAGAGAGAGAGAGAGAGAGAGAGAGAGAGAGAGAGAGAGAGAGAGAGAGAGAGAGAGAGAGAGAGAGAGAGTGTGTGTGTGTGTGTGTGTGTGTGTGTGGCATCGTCAAATTTCCCAAAACTTCAAACACAAAAAAATGATGCTTTTTTTGCTGCAAATTGCTCTACTTCTGGTTCCTGAAGTGGTGCACTGTCTCAACCAAGATGGACTCTCCCTCCTCGCACTCAAATCAGCAATCGAAACCGACCCGACACGGATCCTCGACTCCTGGTCGGAATCCGATCCCACCCCCTGCCACTGGCACGGCGTCGCCTGCACCGGCAACCGAGTCACCGACCTCCTCCTCACCAACAAACGCCTCACTGGCTACATTCCCTCCGAACTTGGTCACCTTGACTCGCTCAAGCGACTCAATCTTTCAAACAACAACTTCTCCATGCCCATGCCGGCCCACCTCTTCAACGCCGACGCCCTCATTTCTCTCGACCTCTCCAACAACTCTCTCGTGGGTCCAATCCCGGACCAAATCCGATCACTCAAGGCACTGAACCACCTCGACCTGTCTTCCAATCTCCTCAACGGCTCCCTCCCCGAGTCTCTCGCCGAGCTTCCCTCCCTCGCTGGAACCCTGAACCTCTCGTACAACAAATTCTCCGGCGGAGTTCCGGCTTCGTACGGGCGGATTCCGGTGCTCGTGAGCCTGGACCTCCGGCACAACAACCTCACCGGAAAAGTGCCTCAGGTGGGATCGCTGGCGAACCAGGGCCCCACCGCGTTTTCCGAAAACCCTAGCCTCTGCGGGATTCCGTTGGAAATTCCGTGCCCGGAAGCCCAAAACCCTGATTCCCCGAAAAGCGGAGGGGAGGATGTTCAAAAGCCTCTCAACCCGGATCCGAGTTTGGTACGGAGGGCAGAGCAGCGAGAAAATGGGAGCGGCGTGTCAGTGACGGTTCCGATAATTTCGGGCGTTTCGGTGGTGGTTGGGGCAGTGTCGGTATCGGTGTGGCTGCGTCGCGTAAAAAGCAGGGCGAAGGAGGGAAAAACGGGAAAAGAGAAAGTGGTAAAGGAGGTGGCTGTCGTGGTGGAGGATGAGGGGGAAGGGCAAAATGGTACATTCGTGGTGGTGGACGAGGGGTTCGAGTTGGAATTGGAGGATTTGCTGAGGGCATCGGCGTACGTGGTGGGGAAGAGCAGGAGTGGGATTACGTACAGAGTGGTCGCCGGGAATAGCGGGAAGGGATCTGGTGCGGCGCCGTCGGTTGTGGCCGTGAGAAGGCTGAGCGAGGGTGACGCCGCGTGGCGGTTCAAGGAGTTTGAGGCTGAGGCGGAGGCGATGGGGAAGGTGGTCCACCCCAATATCGTCCGCCTGAGAGCATATTACTATGCGAATGATGAGAAACTTCTGGTTACTGATTTCATTCGCAATGGCAGCTTGTACAATGCACTCCATGGTAAATTAACCAACTCTTTGCCACCATTGCCATGGACGGCAAGGTTAAAAATTGCTCAGGGGACCGCAAGGGGTTTGGTGTACATACATGAACACAGCCCTCGAAAGTATGTTCATGGAAGCATTAAGTCGACAAAGATCCTTCTCAACGATGATCTCCAACCTTACATATCCGGGGTCGGATTGGCACGTCTTATGTTGGGTACCTCAAAGTTCACCACTTCAGCGTCGAGAAAGCACAACTCGAATCAATCCATTGTGGCTTCTGGTATGGCTGGTCCAAGTTCTTCAACCATTTACTTGGCGCCCGAGGCCCGAGTTTCTGGCAGCAAGTTCACTCAGAAATGTGATGTGTACTCCTTTGGAATTGTGCTCTTGGAGATCTTGACTGGAAGGTTGCCAGATGAGGGGCTCGAAAATGGTGGCGAGGGACTCGAGAGTCTGGTCAGGAAGACATTCAGAGATGAGCGCCCCTTGTCTGAGATCATAGACCCTGTACTTGTGCAAGAAGTTTATGCAAAGAAGCAAGTTGTTGATGCCTTTCACATTGCCCTTAATTGCACTGAGCTCGATCCCGAACTGCGTCCAAGGATGAAAACTGTCTCCGAGAGTCTTGATCGCATCAGACTGCAATGTTAAGAGAAGAAAACAGAGAATGCAAAAGCTGACTGCTCATCCGGAATTGGTTATGGTACTGAAAATGGTCTCGGATGGGCGTTTGATTGTATGTTTTTGTGGAGACGATTACTGTTAGGAAATCCATCAGCTTAATGGGTTGGATGTATCATATGTGTTGTGTAGTTGAATTATTGGTTGTTTGAAGATGATGAATTCAACGGGGACCGGCATGTTCTTAGGTTGCCGGCATTCTGGTGGAAGAGGAGAAGAAAAGTGTTTCCGGCCGTTTGTTTCTCTTCTGTAACACTTGTTTTTTGCACTATTCTCACCATATGATCCATGCTTTCCCTCAGGTTCAAATTTGTAATGGCTAATGTTGAATAGCATCTGTTCTTCATTATGTTTTAACTGGTTTAGGGTAAAGACAATGTTTTTTATAGAGTGGACTGTTACGGGCACCAACTATCATCTCAAATGTTTTATATCGGCTGATGTAGTACGTAACATAACCGTTGTTTATTCTTATAACTTGTTTCGTAATAAACTCAAGTACAGCCAAATGAAATGCCACCACATCAGTTCGGTTTTATGAAGAGTACACAGTACTAACATAATATGCTGACATAATAAGATCAAGGGCTAACTACATTTTTCAATATTTATGTTTGAGGTAATTTGTCAATGTGGTGCAAATGTGACTTACACGTTAGTTCATATTTGAATCTCACATTATCAAGAATCAAAACTATCGATTCTTCCAAAGGTATAAACTAATACTATTCCAATATATTATGGTGCAAAATAAAAAAATAAAGTTAAAACTTTATGACCTATTCTAAAATTTTAAATTAATATAAATAATTAAAGAATGGCTCATAAATATAAGCAAATAACGGGCTTCAATGGCCTTACCCAAAATTACAGGCTCAAAAGGGTTCTTAGTCAGAGCCCAAAGGTTTGTAATATACCGATATGTGTTTGCGTTTTAACAAGCGCTAGAACATTTACAAAGATTTTCTCACGCGTTTTAACAAGCGCTAGAACATTTACAAAGATTTTCTCACGAGGAAATTAGAATTTCTCTCATCTTTCGCATTTTTTTATTAGACATTAATGCCCTTTTTTTTGGGCAAAAACATTAGTGCGTTTTAAAACTTTCGTTGCTTAACCATTTGTTCCTTTAAGAATTTGATTAAACATTTTCTTTTACAATTTCATTGGAGGTATTCGATTATCCATAATATTGGTACATTTGATTTTATGGTACAATTAGATTTCTGACATATGTTATTTCTTGGTACATTTAGAATCTAAAAGTACCAAAAGTCGGTACGTTTATTTTCAAATGTACCATAAGCTTTAAGTACATTTATTTATAAACAATACGTAAAATTTTAGCAAATTAATTTAGAAAGAGACTCAACTATGTCTGATAAGTTTGTGCAATGTTCTGTGTAAAATATGTGCCAAGGTTCTTGCTAATCGACTAAAGCCTATTCTCTCATCCATGATTTTTCCTTTCCATAGTGCTTTCGTTCCTGGCATGCTTATTTCTGACAACTCCCTGCTGGCTGCCGAGGTAGGCCATTTCTTGCATAATAGGCAGAGGGGTAGTGAGGGTTTTCTAGCTCTCAAGTTGGATCTAAGTAAGGCTTACGATCGAGTAGAATAGGGGTTTTGGAAGCCATGTAGCTTCAGCTCGGTTTTGCGAAGGCTTGGGTACGCGTTGTGATGACTTGTGTTTCGTCTGTCTCTTATTCCTTCATGGTTAATTGGGAGGCGAAATGATATTTGGAGTCGTCAAGGGGTTTGAGACAAGGTGATCCCATGTCATCTTATCTTTTCATGCTTTGTGATGAGGGTTTATCGACTCTAACTTCCCAAAATGAGAGGAATGGTGTGTTTTATGGGATCCATATTGATGATATTGCATCGAGCCTACACCACCTTTTATTTGCAGATGATAATTTCTTCTTCACTCATGCTACAATGGAGGATTGTGGCGTAGTTCAACATATATTGGACATTTATTCCCAAGCGTTGGGGCGAGCAATAAACTTCCATAAAAGTAGTGTGGCTTTTTTAGTTCTAATGGGGAAATAGTTGTGCAAGTTCGTCTTGCCTCATTCTTGGGAGTACAACAAGTGGATCGTCATGATCATTATTTGGGCCTCCCGACCTTTGTTGGTAAAAACAAGAAGAAAACTTTCTCCTTCATTAAGGAGGGGGTTACAAATCGGTTGAATGGGTGGATAAGGAAGCTATTGAGTGGTATGGGACGAGAGTTGCTTATTAAAGTGGTTACACAAGCTTTACCGACCTATGCCATGCATAATTTTTTACTCCCTAAAGCTTTTTGTGAGGAGCTCCAACAACTTATGGTTAGGTATTGGTGAACTAGTGATCCCAATACCTGTAAAATTCATTGGATGTCTTAGGATAAGATGTGTAGGCCTAAGCAGGAGGCTAGACTAGGCTTTCGGGATCTTCATGCATTTAATCTCGCTTTTTTAGCGAAGCAAAGGTGGCATTTAGTGCAGCACCCAGTGTTTGTGTCATGCCCTGATCTCGACATACGTCCAGGATCGACACGTGATGTCACCAACTACATGTATATCTAACATACCCCACCTACGGGATATGTGCAAAGCACAACTCATGATCCAACTACGTAGTAATTTTTTGTACACTTTATTGCTGCATCTAACCTTTTTGTTAGACTGCCTACGTACCCTAAACAGGGATCAAGCCATTCGTAGTTCATCATTCACTACACTAGAACAATTATCACATAAATTACTATGTCTCAATATAATACCACACAACAAGCATGCAACATCTCGAGGAACATTCGATGAAGAACAACATAAATCTCTAGCCATATTGGTCAACGAGTCTAATCATAATGACAACAATCATAACCAACATCATTCCACAATCACATCAATCAATAACACACACCATACACCGAAGTGCTGGGCTAGAGCGACATAGTTCGGCCAAAGCTTACATTTTAAAGCTGAAATCAAATCCAATGAACCAAACAGTCAAATGATGCGATTTCGGACCACTCAACGAAATCCATGAACATCGGGTTCTGAACCACTCAACTGAACCAAGGCACCAAAGGAGATTCCGGACCACTCAACGGAATCCAAAACAGGATACGATTACAGACAACTCAACGAAATCGTGGAGTAAAAGGGATTCCAGACATCTCAACAGAATCCGAGTGGATACGATTTCGGACCACTTAACAAAATTACGGTGTACAATGCATATCGAACCATTCAATGAAATCCAAGCTGGATACGATTCCAGACCGCTCAACGGAATCGCAAATCACAAGGGATTCCGGATCACTCAATGGAATCCAGACAGAGCAGGAACCGGACCACTCAACGGAACCCCAGCAGAAACCCAGTTCCGAATCACTCAACGGAACTGAGCAGAAGTCCAAGGAATATAGCAATGTTCGAAGAACAAGACATGAGACAAGTTCTCAAAATACAAAAGCTCAATGAAACAATAAATGGAACAAAGCACAAGGTACACAATTAGAATGGCTCAACGAAAGAGAAATGAAATAATGATACGATGTGTGAAATAAGTCTCGAAGCAACAAACCTCATGACAATAGGTTTATGGTCCACTACTAGCCCTCACATTTCATCACATCAGGCCATACATACAAATCAACCACAATCCATAACAAGTTCAATACACAAGTCAAATCACATAAAATAAACAAGCATAACACAATGTGATGCAATCAGTACGTAAATCAAGGTACACGTCAATCGAGGAAAACACATTATCATGCTGAGCCCAATAAGTTCCATGAAATCTCAACAACACTCTAAGCTCAGCGACACGCTAAAAGAACTCAAGCAAGTTGACTAACACTCTAAGCTCAACGACACGCTAAAAGAACTCAAGCTAGTTGACTAAAAAGCCAATCGTTGATCAAGGTCAAGAGTAGGGTCCACAACCCTAGAAATCTAAACCGGAAGATTCGTTTATCAGATTTCTAATCTGTAACTTCCCAAGAGTCTCATTAGTGTTCTAGAACAACATATTAAGATTTCATTATAATCAAATGATCAGATCTCCGCCAATTGCTAAGATTAAGTGGCGATCAACGTTTGATTTTACAAAATTAGAAATCCAATTCGAGACGATCAGTACATTGGATTCTCTATCTGTCAATTCCTAATGTCATCAAATATTACGAATAATAACCTGTTAAAGTTTGGTGATGATCCAACGGTTGGATCGTTAATTCATAAAATAACCCCATGGCGGCCAACTAGGCGATCAACTACAAAACTATGTTAAACATGGGAATTTCACTAAACGGATGTTAAATATGGAATCGGGACATCAAATTTAGCCTAGGATGGGCGGTCGAGTTTCGGCCCACACGGCAGCCGGTCGCCCTGACTCACCAGAAAATCTAACTAATTCCAAAATTACCAAATTTTACCAGAATGAAGATTTCGATAAGTAGAACAAGTTGCATACCTGTGACCAAGGCCAATTTGACCGGGAAAAGCCCCAATTTCATTCAAACCCGTAGGAAGCCCTAGAAAATGTGGGCTTCGATTCGTTGAATTTGCAGCTCCGCTGTCCCCAAACTTATTTGGGCTTTGTTCTTGACCTCCAGAGAAGTTGAATGAGGGTGGTGGTCGACGGTGATGGTTGAGGGATCGTTGGATCGCCGTTCATGGTGCTCTCGGTCCCTTCACGTCGTTCTCCATAATACGGGCTAAAACTCATTCGAATCTTGGGTGTAATATGGAGATGGAAGGCCAGTGGATAATTTACAGGTGATGGCTCGAGAAAATTCGATGAAAAACGACGAAAAACGCTGGAAATCTCGTCGGGTCAATCCGGGTCACGATAGGGGAAAACGGGTCATGCGGATCACCTCATTTTTCCCCCTTCCTTCTTTCCCTCATTTCCTCTCTTCTGATTAGTTCCCTCACTTCCCTTTCTCCTCCTCATTGGCCGCCCTTTCCCCCTCATTTCTCATTTCCCATCATCTGATTGGGCAGTTTTCCCCCTCCAATCACAGCCTTCCACCTGTTTTAAAAATGACAGGAAGGCTCCTAAAGTTTTTGGAGCCTTCTAACAAATGGAACAAAATTACCATTTTACCCCTAGCCTTTGCTTATTTATATTTTATTCTTTATAACTCAAAATTACGTTCCGTTTGCGCTCATATGTTGGTATCGATGAGTACTAACCAAATACGTAAAGAAAAGTAGGAAAATATATGTATATACACACCAAATACATCCTTGAAAATTCCATTTAGTCCATTAAGGGTGTTTTCATCCTTTTACTAAAATAAATTTATGCTCCGCAAATATAAACGTTTCGATAATAATACTACGAAATACATAGTTTTAAGTAGTGAAATTCGGGGACGGAATTTCACATTCTTCCCCCCTTAACAAAAATTTCGTCCTTAAAATTTCCCATATTAATTCACTAAACACCAATGCAACAATTCCAATTCCAAAAAACATTTCCCAACATCCACAGGTAAAGGTACTTAGA